CCTCCCAAAGTGTTGGGATTATAGGTGTGAGCCACCGCACCTGGCCAGGCGACAGTTTTCTAAACAGGATCAAAACAGTGAGCTTATTGGTACAAATGGATGTGTATACATGATGGTGAAAGAATAGAGGCAAAAGATTCTACATCTGTCTCTGGAAGTCAGAATAGGCTTTATATGAGATAATCTTAAATTTGGACTTGAAAGATAAGTAGGTGAGTGTTAACTAGTCAAGATTAGTTAGAAGGCAGATAATCGGGATAGGAATTACGTATGCAGAAGCAACAAAAGCCATGAAAGGAGTATGAGATTCAAAGCAATTGGGTATACTACAGATGATGAAGTGAAGTCTGAGGTCAGATTTTGTGATTTTTTTTTTTTTTAATGCTGACTTTGTCACTTTTTTATTTTAAGCTCTCTTTAAATCTGGGTGCAGTGGCTCTGCCTGTAGTCCCAGCACTTTTGAGAAGGCCAAGACAGGAAGAGAACTTGAGGCCAGGTTTGAAACTAGCCTGGGCAACGTAGCATGACCCAGTCTCTACAAAAAAAAAAATTTTAAATGAGCCAGGCATCTTGGCATGGACCCTGTAGTCCTAGCTGCTCGGGAAGCTGAGGTAGGAGGATCCCTTGAGCCCAGGAGTTCAAGGTTGCAGTGAGCTGTGATTGTGCTACTGCACTCCAGCCTGGGCAGCAGAATGAGACCCTGTCTCAAGAAAAAAAAAAAAGAATCTGTCTCATGGATATGTTGGTAAAATTAAGTTTGGTACATGACATGCAAGTATTCAATAAATGTCAATTGTTATGATTATTTTTCTTTCTTTTCTTTTCTTTTTCACCAGCCCTCATTATTATAAAGTAAGCTTTGGGAGGAAGGACCCCTATTATGCTTCATAGGAAAATTATAACCATTCATCCAAGTGTGTTTAGCACATTGTATTTATCTTGAGGAACAGTGGGAATAAGTGAAACCTGCTGTCATGGAGTTTACAGGCCAGGAGAAGGTAGACATTTATAGATTTTTTTTTAAACCCTACTTATAATAAGTTGTATAGCATTACTCAAAGGGGGAAATTACAAGACATCAACCTAAGTTGAGTATATACCAAGAGAACCCAATAATACCTAGTGGGTTGCTAAAACCTCTTTGAAACCTGGAAGCTGAGTACGAGTTAGCAAGGAGATGTCAGCAGTAAATTTTATTAGGTAAAAAAGAGAACAATTTCAAATCCTACAAGGTCGAAGGGGCTGAGCACTTTTGAAGAACAGAGAAAAGGTCAGTGAAGAACAGGAAAGAGAGAAGGGCCTAGATAGAAATGACATGAAATGAGTCTGTAGAGGAAAACAGAAACCAGATCAGGTAGCCTTCTTAAGCTACATAAAGGATTTTGGATTTTTATCCTAAACTCGGTGAGAAACTATTTTTGAAGGGTTTTGGTGGGGTAGAAGCAGTGTACATGAGCTATCAGATTTGCCTACTTTTTAAAGGCCTTTGTGGGCCATGCAAAACCATTGTAGCTTTTTAAAAAGAAAAAGGAAAACAAACAAAAATACCTGTCTAGCCCATTCTTTGACCTGAGTAAATCCCAACACTCTAGCCAGTTGGTGTACATCCTTTCAGATTTTTCCCTAGAAATATACAAACATGAATTTAAAAATATGTGTGTGTGTAGGGGGGTAATTTATTTTGGTTTATTTTGTTTTGTTTTGAGACAGGGTCTCACTCTGTTGCCCAGGCTGGAGTGCAGTGGTACCATCTTTGGCTCATTGCAGACTTGAACTCTCGGGCTCAAGGGATCCTTCTGTCTCAGCTTCCCCAGTAACTGGGACTACAGGCACATGCTACCATGCCTGGCTAATTTTTAAATTTTTTGTAGGATAGGGTCTTGCTATTAATAGTTGACCAGGCTGGTTTTGACCTCCTAGTCTCAAGTGATCCTCTCACCTTGGTGTGATTACAGATATGAGCTGCCATGTCCATCTTGTAATTTGTTTAAGTAACAGAAAATGAGATTATACCATGTGTACACACCTAGTGTTATAAATACTGTGTTGCAAGTTTTATGTTTTTGGACTTTTTCTGTCAGTTCTTAGTTTTCTTGTGTTTTGATCCTTATGGTAGTCCATTTCATGAGGGTTTTTTAGTCCTTTCTTGGTGAACTTTTGGTTTCTCTCTGATATGTTAGTATTAAAAACAAAGCTGCATTTGTGAAAGGATGTTAATGTCTCATTAGGAAGATGCAAGTTAAAACCACAGTGAGACGTATCATGACAACCTACTAGGATGGCTAAAATTAAATAGACTTAACATTAACCATAGCAAGTATTGGTGAAAATGTGGAGGAACTAGAACCTTCAAACACTGTTGGGGCTATAAAATGGCACAATCACTTTGAAAAAAGTTCAGCAGTAAGTTAAATGCGTATTTGTCATAATGTGAAGTTTCATTTTGCTTTTATTTATTTGCTAAAAGAAAAATGGAAATACTCTATACAAAGATCTGTACTCAGATGTTTATAGCAGCTTTATTTGTAGTTAAGCAAAAACTGGAAACAACTCAAATATCCACCTGCAAATAAATGGATAAACAAATTATGTGTTCATATAATAGAGTATTAACTCAACAGTGAAAAGGAGTGCACTTAATCGAACAGCATGGATAAATGTCAGAATAATTATGCTGAGTGAAAAAAACAGATGAAAAAAGTATGTAGTATATACTTCAAATTATATAAAACTCTAGGGGAAAAAAACCTAAAGCTGAAGAAAACAGATGAGTGGTTGGTTGAGGACAGGTTGTTTAAGAGAGGGATTGATTACCGTGGGGCATGAGGAATCTTGGGAATGATAGATAAAAACTGTTTACTGTTCTTGATTTTGGTTTCCCAGTTGTATACTCTGTGAAAATACTTTAAACTTTCACATTAAATCCTACACTTTGAGTATGTTTAGTTTATTGGATGTCATTTAAACCTTAATGTCATTAGAAAAAAGCTGCATTGAGGCACGATGTGTGTGTAATTCTAAACACACATATTTCTGTAACCTAAGTTGGTAGAAGTGTCATTACTGTGCCAAAAGTGATTATACATTTAAATTTCACATAGATATTGACAGATTGTTCTACAAAAAAATATTGTGCCAGCTTATATATTTGAAAATGCCCATTTTTGCACTATCTTCCCAATACGAGTAATCATTCTTCCATCTTTTCCAATCTGATGGATTAAAATGACATTATCATTAATTTTATTTTCATTTCTTTGATAAGTGAAATTGGTTTTCTTACATTCATTGATTATTTTTATTTCTTCTGTAAATTATCTTTGTCTTTTGTGAAATGTCTTTGCTCATTTTCCTATTGGACTATGGTTTGTTTTTTTTTTTAATTATTGAAATTATAAAGTATCTGTCATATTCCATGTACTTACTCAGGGATGCTCACAAAACATTGCTTTAGTGAGTAAATGAATTAATATCTTTCCAGTTAGACTTTTAACTTTATTTATGGAGACTCTCTATTCATGTCTAGTGAAACCCAGAGGTGAATGCTTCAGTTAGTACCTCCCTGTTGGAGGCTATAATGACAGGGATGCCCTTTAATGTACTTCCTTTTAGCCTCTTCCTGACCTGTCCGTTCTCTAGTCTTAGAGTTACTAGCAAGAGATGCAAATTGCAAGTTTGGAGTATAAAGAGGAATGGAAATGGGTAACATGGGATTTTCATGTCTGTTTTGAATCATCTTCCCCCTTCTTTGTTTTTAGGTGGGATGCAGCCCCATTTTCATCTCTGGCCCACATTAGGTACTCCCTCATAACAGATCTTCCAGTTGACTTGAGTTGCAGCTAGGGATTCACCTGTAGTTACAGCTTTACAAGTGCATCCTTGGCCAACAGCTATGACCACAGGGTAACACAACTGCTACTGTCCTTTAATTATCCCTCTAACTAACTCACTGCCTGCTCTCACCTTCAGCCTTTCATGCCTTTGGCATGGGTTTTGTTTTGTTTGTAATCCCAGTACTTTGGGAGGCTAAGAAGTTCAGATTGCTTGAGTTCAGGAGTTGGACACCAACCTGGGCAATGTGGCAAAATCTCATCTCTACAAAAAATACAAAAATTAGCCAGACATGGTGACTCATGCTTGTAGTTCTAGTTACTCAGGAGGCTGAGTTGGGGGACATGGCTTGAGCTCAGAAGGTAGAGGTTACGGTGAGTCCAGGTGATGCCACTGTTACTCCAGCCTGGACAGCAGATCCAGACCCTGTCTCAAAATTAGAAAGAACAATATGACCATTTCTTACATGAAGTAGTATAAGATTTAAGGTAATATTAATAAATAATATCTTTATTTATTATTCTCTCGTTTAATCATCACAGTTCTACAATATAGGTGGCATGTTTTAAAGATAGGAAACTGACATTCAGGTTGAGAACCGGCCCAGAATCATAGTTCTGGGTCTTCTGGCTTTATTTTACTGCCTCTAAGTAAGGAAAGGGCTCATACTTACTGTTGACTGTGCCCTTTTGTATGTAGTAAGGGGCTTTATTTGTCAAACTAAGGGCTTTCTGTGGACTATAAGAATTTTTCTGAGCCTTAGAGTTGGGTACTAATATGCTGACATTTCTATTTAAGTGAATAATTGTGGACATTGAAATGGAGGGATACTGGGGACAAGAATACTGATAAATAGGTCCTGCAGCAATTTCGAGAAACCGTGGAAGTGTCAGAGCATGTCACCTATTTTCATAATAGAACATAGAGGATTTAGTATATCATTATGTTTTGCTCTGAGCACCTAGCTGTTTGTTGAATAATACAATTTTATCCACATAAACTATACTGTGTTAGGTCCTCAGGGCAGCCTAAGGAAGCAGTAATTAAACTCAGCTTAATATTGGATAATCTGTTAGGTAATTAATAAACTGAGTATAAACAGTGACACAAAGTTAATAACTTATCTGCTTTAATCAAAGCAAATTTGTCTTTATCTTCTTTCTCTTCAGTTGGAAGATGCTGGCTCAAGTAGTTTAGATAATCTACTAAGTAGATACATCTCAGGCAGTCACCTACCCCCACAGCCTACAAGCACCATGAATCCTTCCCCAGGACCCTCTGCCCTTTCTCCAGGATCATCAGGTAAAGCAAACAGGGGTATTACCTTATTTTTTTAACACCTTAAAAAGAGTCTCAGTGTCTTAGTCAGAATTCTCCAGAAAAACAGAGTAAGTAGGAGGTCTACATGGAGAGAGAAAGGGAGATTAGAGATATATTGTAAGGAATTGGCCCATGTGATTGTGGGTGTTGACAGGGCAGGTCAGGCAGGCTGGAGACCCAGGTAAGAATATTGTTACAGTCTTGAGACAAAGTTTCTTCCCTGGGTCATGAGGTAGGGGAGAGAACAGGGCTCCGTCTTCTCTTCTCTCTTCTCTCTTAAAAGGGCGTCACCTGGTTGTGTGAGGCCCACCTACATTATGGAAGATAATTCCTTTTCTCAAAGCCTAAGGATTTAAATATTAATTCCATCTAAAAATGCCTTCACAATACCATTTATGTGGTTTGACCAAATAGTTGAGTGTCATATCCTAGCCAAGTTGACGTAGTAACAGATTTTTTTTTTTCCTTGATCTTTGTAATCATTTTTGTTCAAATACTGTTGGTACTCTTTTGCCAGCTGAAGCTATATTAATATATATCTGTAATCTATACCGTTCAGAACTCCAAAGTACTCAACCTTTACTATATTCACAGTCTTTGATGGGTTTAATCTTATATTTGATAATAAAAGGGGTCAGTTGAAGAGTTCTTTGGTTTCAAGTCAACTTTAAAACACTTTGTAAAATAATGAAACATTCAAAAATGATTTTAAAAAGCTGAAGAAGGGCAGGTTAAGTTTCAAAACTGTAATTTTAAAATAAAAAATTTGCTGAGAACTATTAAAATAGCCATGATATGTAACTCTCTTCCAAAATCCTAGTGGTTTTATTAACCATATTACTCAGCGATTTAATTGGGACTCTTGAATGCATGATCGAAGCAACTCCAAACAGGTTAACAGTCTAGAAGTGTTACTGAATGTATTTTTCTGATGTGAATTAAATGTTGCTTATTTCTTACTGAAACAGACCGCCTCCTTATTTCTAGAGGAAGAACAGTTCAAATGTAAATGGTTTTTCCATGAGCTGCAACATTCACATATTTTTAAATCACATAATTTTTAAGGTTTATTAAGAATGATTTCAGGACTTCTGAAAATAATTAATGGGAACTTAAGTAGAATAATATATTATCAGATAACTTGTTCGAGGGTGGCAGATCATGTTTTCTTGGTCTGTTTTGTTGACTGGATAGTGGTGCTCTGAGGAGGATTCTGAGGTGATGTCTGGACATAGCTGAGAGAAACTGGTTGATACCTGCTAATGGTTAACATGCATCCATCCCTGACTTTGTGACTAGGTCTGATTTCCAGGAATTTTTTAGCTGGGTTGTAATAGTCTTGAGTTCTGTAACCAGTAGGTAGAATTCCAAATATTCTGTATACCTTGATACTCATTGTGACTTACTGCTTTTTAGGTTTATCCAATTCTCACACACCTGTGAGACCCCCTAGTACTTCTAGTACTGGCAGTCGAGGCAGGTGAGTATTATGTTATGAATAATTTATTTTTTTCCTTTTTGTTAAGAATATCAAATATATATAATAAAAGTTTAATATTACAATGAACCATAACTGTTTCAATATATCTCACTTAATGAAAAGAATTTTAACAATTTATAACCACAGAACCATTATCACACGTAAAACAATTTAACAGCTCATTCTTTAATATCAGTAGAGATCCAGTGAATGTTTTGTGTTCCCAATTTTTGCCACAAATGCCTTTATTAAAAAAAAAAAAAAAAGGTGATTTCTTTGAATCAGATACAGTTAAGCTCTATAAGTTGCCATCAGTTTGTTTACATCATTATCAATTTATTTGTTGTAAAAATGTGGTTTCTCCATCTTGTCATTTAAGTACACTGCCTCCTGTTTTTTGTCTATGTTGGTATTTAGGTCAAAGGGTCGATCAAATTTAGGTTTGATTTGGGGGAAGGGAGGGCAAGAAGACATGGTAGTGTATACTTCCATCAGGGGCAAATTACGCCTGCTTGGGTTTTTTTTTTGTGATAGCAATTGTTAATAATTAGTGTTTAGCTCTGTTATTTTTCTGCTGGTTGAAATATGATATTTTAATTATTGTATCATTATTTCTTTATAATACTTCTGTAAAGAGAAACTTTCTGTCATCAACTATTGGGTTATAGGAAAGATAGGATAAATTTTTTCTTGTTTATTTCTCTGCTTTCAGAGTATTGAATTTATTTCCAACACCCTCTAACAGTGACAGTTTTATTATTACCTTTATGGACTCATCTATTTAAACATACTTTATATGTTTTAATCCATTATATATGTTATTTATGTATTGAATGCTTAAATTATTCCATCTTTGGCCTGTCAGAGCTTTTTCAGGTTTGCTCCTTAGTCCTTTTGCTGTAATCACTGTAGTCTTTGAAAGCTTTCGTGGTTCATTTTGTACAATTTCTTGCATCAGACCTTGAATCAACCACTTTCCCTGGAAATTCTGTTAGTGTTAATAGGAAAGCAGGAACATAGTGTTTGGGAATAATATTCTAGTGCCAGTAGCACTCGTTGCTCCTGAATCGTTCTTTGTTTCTTAGGCCTTTTCAGGGGTTAGAGCTAAGAAATAGGAATATGTGTATGTGTGAGTGTTAAGATAGAAGCGCTTGAAACCATAAAATGTGTTTTTAGGGTCTTCTGAAAGTTTGCTGCATAATTTTAAAGAGTTTGAAGCTAGGCTTTATACCACATTCCCCTTACCTACATTATGAGGTATACTTATCTTTTATAAAGTTAGTCATCTATTGTCTTCACTTTAGTGAACATTGCTTTTCATATAATTGTTTTTATTTATACCATATCGTCAAATGTATGTGATCTTTATTTGTTGTGTCTTATTAGCTGTGGGTCATCAGGAAGAACTGCTGAGAAGACAAGTCTTAGTTTCAAATCTGATCAAGTGAAGGTCAAGCAAGAACCTGGGACTGAGGATGAAATATGTAGCTTTTCAGGAGGTGTGAAACAAGAAAAAACAGAGGATGGCAGGAGGAGTGCTTGCATGGTAAGCACCCACTGGGGTCTGACAGGGATTAAGGACATCACTTCATTGATTCTTTCAGTTCTGAGTATATTAAGACTGAGTAGTGGTTCTAGGAACATTTATTTATTTTTGAAATTTCATGCCTGGCGCAAGCCAGATACCTTTTTCTAACTCAACTTTCTTTCAATATTTTTGCCATGATGCTAAATCAGATTGTATCTTCTTCTGAAATTATTAATTATTTCAGTAGTCACATTGAATCTCAGGCCATAAAAGATCTTTGGCATTCTCCTGGACCTGTGAGGTCCGTGTTAAGATTGCTGACACAAAAGAAGTTTATTGATAGAGTTTTGTGATAGGAAGATTTGTCTTTTGGCTTGAGTGGAACATTTTATAAAATTTATCATATAGAATGAAGGAAGGCTAAGCCCCTCTTGGTTTAGATATTTTTATTTTTGTTTTCTCTTTCTAATTGGGTTTCTTCTTTCTTTTTTATATGGTTGGCACATAGGAATTCATCTGAGGGTATTAGTATATTAAACACAGTGTATGTAGATTCAAAGAGCAAGAGATTCAGCCTTGGGTTTGAAGTACTGTTACCCCTTCATCCAGAACTTGGTTTAGAAAGTACCCCCATAAAAAAATGAGTGCAAAGGGTGGGGAACAATTTATTTTACATTGTTGCAATCTTCCTACAATATAGTAAAATGATAGGTCAGCAGAAGAATATTATAGAGTGCTTCTCAAATGCTGTGCAAAAGATTCTGGTTGTGAAAAGGAGTGTGCCATAATTAGCTCTCTCAAGAAAAAGTATAACCCTGTGCTCACTTCCAAATCAGTAGTTTAACAGTTTAATTAATTTACTTATTATCTGCATGAGACATTATTAGAGGGGCAGACCCCTTAAAATCACATGTTAGCATGCCTGACTAATTTTGGGGTTATTGTCATTTCTTTATGGCACTATAGTGATTTATAAAATAAATTTGAATTATGTCAGTGTATCTTTATGCATATTCACATAACTTTTAAATACACATACAGCATTCAATAAAGATTAAATAATTCTTCAAGAATTTGTCATTGTTTTGTTTTAGTTGAGCAGTCCTGAGAGTAGCTTGACACCACCTCTCTCAACCAACCTGCATCTAGAAAGTGAGTTGGATACATTGGCAAGCCTGGAAAACCATGTGAAAACTGAACCTACAGATATGAATGAAAGCTGCAAACAGTCAGGGCTCAGCAGCCTTGTTAATGGAAAGTCCCCAATTCGAAGCCTCATGCACAGGTCAGCAAGGATTGGAGGAGATGGCAACAGCAAAGATGATGACCCAAATGAAGACTGGTGTGCTGTCTGCCAAAATGGAGGGGATCTCTTGTGCTGCGAAAAATGTCCAAAGGTCTTTCATCTAACTTGTCATGTTCCAACACTACTTAGCTTTCCAAGGTACCAGTGAAATAATTGACTTTTGGTGTTTATTTTCATAAGCTAAAAAAAAAAAAATAACAAAGTTGTTCAGGGCAGATGGACTTCTGTGCAAAGTATTTCTATAAAACTGGGAGCCTATTATTCTTTTGGTATTACCTTCCAGGGAAACTAACAACAGAACAATAAAATATCTAAGATCTAAGTGGTATATTAATGTTAAAGAGTAGATTTCATCTCCTGGCCTTTCATTTATATTTGTATAAGGAAAACAGATAAAATTCTAAATTAATTGGGGACTATGGTTACAAAACTTGTAGTCTTGTTTTAATTCTGTAGTAAGTGTCGGCAATTCACTAATTATCAGGGATCAGTTTTTGCATCTACAAGTGGCAGGTTTTGGTTTAGAAGAGCTGTAGTTCTTCCCTTCCATTTAATATTTTATGTTCATGCAGTGTCTTGTCTCTGATGTCATAGACCATAAAATAGTAGGATCATGCTGTTTTTTTTCACTCTTCTTTTTTCTCTTATCTCCAAATTCCTTTTTAGTGAAAGAAAATCCATATTCTTGAGGGTAAACCCAGCTTTTTTCTAGCTATAAATTTAAAAAAAAAAAAAATCTTAAATACCCTTGAAGCAGTAACAGTAACTTTAATTGAATAATACTGCCTTCTTTGAAAGAGTTAACCTTTTGGATTAGAAAACTACTAGATAATTAAACAGTGTCAGAATGTTTTTTAGGTAAGAGTTGTAATTTCTTATCTGTCTTCAGAGGTGTAGTTATTTGCAAGAGGTTTAATAAGGGCCTTCTTTTTCTTTACTCTTACTTAGAAAAGAAAAGCGTTGGCACCTTGATCTTGAAATTAAGAGTTTTCTTTCCTTTGGGCAGTAATATTTACTGGAATGTCATGATTTTGCCACTTAATGCTTTCTTTCAATGGCATGCTTTGGAAGGATTGTAAAATGTTGACACAAATTAGCCAGACGCTGTGGCTCACACCTGTAATCCCAGCACCTTGGGAGGTCGAGGCAGGCAGAGCACTTGAGTTCAGGAGTTTGAGACCAGCTGGCCAGCATGGTGAAACCCCATCTCTACTAAAAATAGCTTCCCCCCCCCCCCCCCGCCCAAAAAAAAAAAACTTCTTTGGGCGTGGTGGCACACAACTTGTAGTCCCAGTTACTCGGGAGGCTGAGCAAGGAGAATCGCTTGAACCTGGGAAGCAAGGGTTGCCATGAGCCAAGATTGCACCACTGCACTCCAGCCTGGGTGACAGTGTGAGACTCCATCTCAAAAAAAGAAAAACAAACAAATAGATTGGTTAGTACAATCCTGAGATTTAGAATCTGTGTATATACCTCTCTATATATCTCTTTATATATAGAGAGGGAGTGAATATAAATAAATCATTTTAGATTTCATAGTTTGATAAGAAATCCTGATAAAAACAAAGTGTATACTTGGCAGGGTTAAAAGATAGGAGGTGGCTGGGCACAGTGGCTCATGCCTATAATCCCAGCACTTTGGGATACCGAGGCCGGTGGATCACTTGAGGTCAGAAGTTTAAGACCAGCCTTGCCAATATGGTTGAAACGCTGTCTCTACTAAAAATACAGAAATTAGCTGGGCGTGGTGGTGGGCACCTGTAATCTTAATCTCAGCAGTTTTGGAGGCTGAGACAGGTAGATCACCTGAGGTCAGGAGTTACCTGGTCAACATGGTGAAAACGCATGTCTACTGATAATACAAAAATTAGCTGGGCATGGTAGCAGGCACCTGTAATCCCAGCTACTAGGGTGGCTGAGGCATCAGAATCACTTGAACCCGGGAGGCAGAGGTTGCAGTGAGCCAAGATCATGCCACTGTACTTCATCCTGGATGGCAGAGTGAAACGGTGTCTCAAAGAAAACAAAAAAAGTAACCATTCATGATGGTGCACACCTGTAATCCCAGCTGCTAGGGAGGCTGAGGCACAAGAATCGCTTGAACCCATGAAGCAGAGGTTGCAGTGAGCTGAGACTGTGCCACTGCACTCCAGCCTGGGCAAGAGGGAGACTCTGTCTCAAAAAAAATAAAGGAGGTATATATACATATGCTTGTGTCTGCAGGTATGTATATGTGTGTTTGAGGTTTTGACTGACCATGAAAAAATAACTGATTTACTTTTGGCATATTAGTACATGCCAAAACAATACAAGATACCTGAGAAACTCTGTAACTTTTCCTCTTCTTATTCATAAATACTGAGTCCACATAATGGTAATACTGGGACCTGAGAGAATTGGTCTTAGGCCTTGTGCTGTAAGTACTGCTCATCAGCTTTATGCTACTAAGAGACCCCTTTTAATGCAGAGATACCATTTTTATAATGTATTCCAGAAAGTAGTCAATTAATCGGTGACTAGGAAAGTTTAGAGGAGTTTTTAATCACATGACTTCACCTGATGAGATTTCACAACTATTAAACCTCCCCTTTTCCAGAAAATTATTAAGAAAATAAACTAGGCACTGTGTCTAAGGAAGTAGCTTTTCTAGAGCAGGATTTCTTATAATTACTTGGACTAATTGCCTATTTCCCTGTTTAGTGGGGACTGGATATGCACATTTTGTAGAGATATTGGAAAGCCAGAAGTTGAATATGATTGTGATAATTTGCAACATAGTAAGAAGGGGAAAACTGCACAGGGGTTAAGCCCCGTGGACCAAAGGGTAAGTGTCAAATAAGTTGATTTGTTATTGGGATTCAGTAGTTGTCTGCCTAAATATACATCTTTTTTTGTGTGTGTGTAGCATACACAAAACCTGATATCATTTCATTTTTAATGCTGTCATCTTATAGTATATTGATGATTTCTGAAGTCGTCTTTTCTCTAACCCTGAACTATATATAGACTCTTCTATCCAGATTCCTCAAACTTAACATGTCCCAACTAAAAATCTTAATTTCTAATCCTCTTTCTCAAAGCACAAAACCAAGCAAATAACAACGTAAAAAACTGTATTCGTCTCCCCAGTATTCCCCTTAATTGAATGATTCCACCATTTGTTTCTGTTGCTCAGGCTAGAAACCTATTAGGAATGAAATAATAATAAAATACCATTTTCTTCTCCCCACCATTACCACTCTAGACAGACGTCATAATTTCTCATCTGGACTATTGTAATCATCTCTTAACTGCTCTGTCTGCTTCTGCTCTTGCATTTTATAGTCTCTTTTCTGTATTAAACAGTGTTCTTTTTTAAAAAGTAAATAAGTCTATCATCTATCATTTCCTTGCTTAAAATCCTCTGATAGCTTCTCATCATATTAAAAATGGAAACTCTCTCCTTAGTTTACTCAGATTTTTACCAATCTGTCCTTTAGTCTCATTTCCAAAGACAGAATCTTTTGCATTGTTGTGCAGTCATTAGAGTTAAGTTTGGCTCTAGTCTGCTGTATATACTTGCAAAAACCCTCATCTACTCTCTGTAAAGACAAGATAACGTGTATAGGATATACAAACTTATGTTAAAAGAAGTTTAGGTAAGTGGCAGACCGTGAATCTAAAATGCATGTCAGTTTACTGATGATTGGGTGAAAAAATATTTTTGGAATTGGATTGAGAAGACCATTTTTATTTTGAAACTGACTAGAGTCATTTAAAGAAGGGAATAATAACATTTAACGTTTGTCTTGCCTGCCTAAGGAATTACCATAAGGAGCAAGAGTGATTATTTATTTATTTATTACCAAGTAATTTATAAATTTTTGCACAAAATGCCAGATGTTGCTTTTGTTACTCCCTTCCGTAAATTACCTTAGTTATGTCCCATTCTTACTTATTTAAAGTAGAGCAAAAGGTAGTCTGAAAACAAAATGAGATGTGAGGGAGTTTTTTTTGGGTGCTTACGTTTAGTTGAATATCTAGTAAATAGGGGGTTTGTGTTCAGTTTCTTGTAATCACACTTTGTTGTGATACAGTTCTTATTCTCAGGAATTTCTTATTAGGAGAAAAATATTTCATGTGCTTTCTTTTCCTTGTTTGGGCCAGAAATGCGAACGTCTTCTGCTTTACCTCTATTGCCATGAATTAAGTATTGAATTCCAGGAGCCTGTTCCTGCTTCGGTGAGTTGCCTACCTTAGTAGCTCGGTGGGGAAGTCTCATAATACATAAGAGTATGGGCTCTGGCCTTAGATAGTTTGTGTTACATGTCAGCCTTCTGGAATAAGCTCCTCAACCTCTCTAAGGCTCAAAGTTTCTTTTCTGACACAATTTCTTACCTCACTGGGTTGTTCTGAGGATTATATTAAGATAACTTATGTAAAGTGTTTACCATAGTCTGTAGTCATTGACTTTTGTAGGGAATAAAGGCTCTAAAATGCTCTAAAAGGAAGATTAGAGTGTTCGGTGCCTAATAAGTGGGGTAAGAATTATGCTACACATTTTATTGCTAGCCATCAGTTGTTGAATACTACATTATGGCACACCAGGCCTGTTACAGAGTATTAAATAGTAGTTGACTTGTTTACTGGGTAGCCAGAGAAATGAATTTTAAATCACAAAAGGTCTAGACCGAAGGAAGGTGTTTTGTACAGGCAGTAATGATCTGTTTCTAGAAAGTTTGTCTCATCTTCAAGTGCAGGGATTTTGAAGTAGAAAATTACTTTCAAATGTTTTCTTTTTATGGACTATTAAAATAGCTTCTCAGCTGGCTGTGGTGGCTCATGCCTGTAATCCCAGTACTTTAGGAGGCTTAGGTGGGTGGATCACTTGAGGTTAGGAGTTCAAGACTAGCCTGGCCAACATGGTGAAACCCCCTCTTTACTAAAAATATGAAAATTAGCCGGGTGTGGTAGTACACACCGGTAATCCCAGCTACTAGGGAGGCCGTGGCAGGATAATTGTTTGAATGGGGCAGGGGGAAAAAGGGGGGCGGTGAAGGTTGCTGTGAGCCAAAATCATGCTACTGCACTCCAGCCTGAGCAACAAAGCAAGACTCTGTCTCAAAATAAATACATAAAATAGCTTCTCTAACTTTACTTTTATCCCAAGGGCAGAAATTTTTGGCCAGGGTTGGGGGCCAGAATTCCCTAGCATGAACACTAAATGGTTAAAAAACTTAATAAATTTTTCTTACATTCTGGTAGTCTTGCTTTCTCTGTTACTAAGTCAAGACTTCTCCATGATGTAAATGATATTCTCTGTCATGTCTTCTGAAAGACGTCATATTTTAATTGTAACATTAATACATGTTGTAAATTTTTTCCTTTCTTTTTTTTTTTTAAAAGAAAAACTCTTGAGGAGTCATAAAATTCTGATAAGCCAAATGTTGCCTTCAGGCTACTGGTTGGTTACCCTTGCTGATTGCTTTCTTTCCAAATCTTATTATTAAAGGTAGGGCTTTGGGGACGGGGACTTGGACTAATCATGAAGATTGGCACATATTCTGCATAAGATCTGGTTTTCGTGAAGACGTAAAGTACATACGTCTATACTCAAAATTTCCAAGCCACTGGCTCTGTAATAAATGGTTTTTTTCCCCCTAAAATTAATATGCCATGCATTTTTAGACAGTTTGTCATTTTTGGAGAATTCTTATTTTCCATTATTTATTTGCTTATTTTAGATACCAAACTACTATAAAATTATAAAGAAACCAATGGATTTATCCACCGTGAAAAAGAAGCTTCAGAAAAAACATTCCCAACACTACCAAATCCCAGATGACTTTGTGGCTGATGTCCGTTTGATCTTCAAGAACTGTGAAAGGTTTAATGAAGTATGTTAACTTCCAACCTATAGAGTCTTGGTTTGTTTTCGTTTGTTTCCTTGTTTTGTTTTTTCTGCTGAAAGACTTTAATTTTATTAAATTGTTTTTTCTGCTAAAGACCTGTCAAAAGTAACATCTGATTGTATTAACAGCTCCAGTGAAGAAAATTCATTGTATATAATTTGGAGTATATACTTAAATATAATAAAGAATATTATCAAATATTCTTTTCTAAATGAGTTGAGGATTGGCACAAGTATGGAAAGTAATGTCAGTAGTTAAGTATGTTTTGTGGGATATGATTATAAACAGTTTACATTTTGGGTACTGTTAGGAAAGTATCTGTACCCACGTCCTTGCATTTTATTATTGACAACATAAATGTAGAACCTTAAAATAATAAACTGTATCTCTGGTGACCCATCTTGAATAGTAGCCCAGAGTATATAATATTAAGTTTTCTTATTTTAGCAGTGTGACTTTCATTAACTTTGGTTATGTTTTTTGTTTTTTTGGAGTTTTTGTTTTGTTTTGATTTTGTTTTTGTTTGTTTTGTTTTTGTTTTTGTTTTGAAGGTAAGGTTGAGTTAGCTGTGCCTTGAGAAGAAATGTGATATATACCTCTTTCAGGGAAATTGTTTCTATTATCTTAGGGATAAAATCAATTCTGTTATTGTTATGGAAGGTTTTCATTATAGGAAAAGAAAATGAAATTTAATTAGAATCCATAAAATCTTTTAAAGGATTAATACTAAAATCTCTTTATTGCTGATGTAATTTGGGTGCCATATGATTATTACTAAAATAAATCACATTGAATACTGTAAAGTATTCCCATAGCTGCCTCTGGAAGCATCTAGATGGCATTTTAAAATTAAAAACAAAACAAAATCCTCATAAGGTGAAAATTCTAAGTCACCTTTATGGTAGTATGGCACAGAGTATATTAGTAAAATCTCATTAATTTGAAGTTAGAAATGATAGTCCCAAATTTTGTCTTATTTTTCAATGCAGTTAAATTATTTTCATATAAATATGCTTTCATGAACTATAGTTGATAAGAAGACCCATGTTACGTTCCTCAGAAATAGTTAATTTATGATTAACATATTGCTATACAGATAGAATTTTTAAAAGTGGTTTGTTAAAAGTTTGTCAGTTTTTTAAAGCAACGTTTCTTATATAATTTGCTTCACAAATATTTTTCTCTTCAGTAGTTTGATGTATTCAGACCAATTCCTATTCAGATTGACCTTGATCATTCAAATTAAGACAATTATTGAGATTTCACAGTAGCTTTAGTAACAGGGCTTTGTAAAGAAAATGGTTCCATGTTCTGTAGAATTTTAGAAAAGCACTTTATTTGGTTATAGCAATTTGTTCTCCCTAGTATGGCTGACTTTTTGTCGCCAATCCTATACAGTCTCATAACTTTAGAAAGGATTATAATTTCCCTTTTTTTTTTTGACTCTGGTATCCTTTTTAGATGATGAAAGTTGTTCAAGTTTATGCAGACACACAAGAGATTAATTTGAAGGTAAGCTTTTCAGACCACGCAAACTTGGTGAAGGAATATGCATTACCAATAGGTGAATATTCCTATCTTTTGCTTGCAGGCTGATTCAGAAGTAGCTCAGGCAGGGAAAGCAGTTGCATTGTACTTTGAAGATAAACTCACAGAGATCTACTCAGACAGGACCTTCGCACCTTTACCAGAGTTTGAGCAGGAAGAGGATGATGGTGAGGTAACTGAGGACTCTGATGAAGACTTTATACAGCCCCGCAGAAAACGCCTAAAGTCAGATGAGAGACCAGTACATATAAAGTAAAATGACATGGATTAAAATCAATTGTTTTTAAAAAAAAAAAAAAAAAAAAAGAAATAAAACAGAAAACTTTTAAGTGTTGCTGGAATATCCTGCCTATAGTGGGCACCTCCTTGAAGAAGCTGATAGCTTTTTACACAGTATTAGATTGAAATAATGGACAGAAACACATTCTTGTCAAGGAAGGGGGAGAGAACTCTGTTTGCAACTTTAAAAGCAAAAAACAGAAGTGAAATGATTCAAGGATTTCTGTTTTAATGAAGATGATTCTCTGATTGTTAGAAATAGCAAATGTTCCCAGGAGGTGGAGGTTGCAGTGAGCCAAGATCACGCCACTGCACTCCAGCCTGGTGAAAGAACGAGACTCTGTCTCCAAAAAAAAAAAAAAAAGAAATAGCAAATGTTGATAATTGTGTGGTCATGATTGGTGCAGGATATTTGGTGTACAAGTAAATACTTGAGGCTCATGTCACTTAATAAATGTTCTTTTTGGACTAGGTCGCACAGTTACTAAAACAACTTTTAAGCCTCCCCCTTCACACACATACATATCAGGTTGTTTTCTAGTTAAAAATCCAAGTAGCTCAGATTCTACTTTAATGTCAGTGCAGATGTGCGTTGAATCATGCCATTATATTTTTTTCTCATTTCGTTGCTGTTGGGTTTTAGTTTTTAAATTGATAAGAAGAACTCAGCAGTAGTTTTATGTTCTGCTCATATTTAGGGTTTAGGAAACACGACCACTAGTTATTTAATCACCTTCAGTGGTCTACTGAAATAAACATGGTAACTTTTCATTAGTGGATTATTTAGAGTTACAGTAATTGTTTCCAGAAAACACTTCCTCACAATTGCACTTCCCAGTCAAATCATGTGATGATACAGTTATTCCCATGAAAGGCAGAATGTTTGTTTCAAAATTAATCTAGTTTTCTGTACATTTAAATTTGATTGAGAAGGTGACAACTGGCCCTTTTCCAGTCTTCCTTCATGTCAGTTTTCTGATAGACCACTATTGGCAAACAGTATCTGTCAACTACCAAATGTGTAAAATTTTCTGTATTTCACTTTGTCTTATTTGTAAATAGTGAACTAAAACTTTTGGCAGATCAGCAACATTTGCTGAGCCTGTTTTTTAAGCTAATGTGTATTCTTACTAATGTTCCTATCAAGAATGGATTTGTAATATATGCTGTCTATTTCTAATGTTCACATTCATATTTTGAGGTTCTATCTTATTTTAATAGAGAACAGACTTCTCAAAAGATCTTCAGAAGCAGCTTATTGAAATATCAAAATATTGAAATAAACCCGGTGGGGTTAGATTACTCATCTGTCCACCAAGTGGGACATTTGCATGGACTAGGGGCTTAAAGGACTTAGAAGAGACCTGTAAGTATATCCTGAAAAATGAGCCAATCCCCACTTGAATGGTTACTGGAGTAAACCCACCTTTACAACCCCAATTACAGCACCCGAGGCAGATAAACCAACTTGACTGGTTCATTTTTCTTCTCTTCATCTGTGATGCTCAGATTGAAAATGTGTGTTCTACACTGTTACAGGCTTCTCTTTTGTTTGCTTAAAAATTTTAGTCCTACTTTTGTATGGACACATTAGAATACACAGAGACCAAAATAGAAGAAGAATTTGCCATTAGATGTTTTTAAGATGTCAGCAGATTTGTGGCAAATGATTTATTTGCCTTTTTGAAAATTCAGTTCGAGCAGTTCAGAGATTAGACTACTCAGAAAATTATTTGACGTAATTGTCTAAGAGGTCGATATTTTTTAGTGCATATTGAATCAAATAAAGTGCTCTAAAAATTATTATACAAATTCCTTTGGGTTGTTTTTCTTTTCTTAACAAGGGATGGGGGTAAACAGGAATATAAATAGTATTGATTTTATTATTGCTATTGATTTACTTTAATCCTGGCTTTTCACTTTTTTTTTTCAATTTTTAAAAAATAATTTAAACCATTGAAAATATACCAAACTGTTTAAATGTTTTACTCAAATTTTAAATTCCTAAGAAAAATTTTTTAATAAGAGGGAGAAAATCATTTTAAAATACTTATGCCTATGCCTGTTTCCCTCTTTTTTCACAACATCCATGATTTTAGTTTATAAGTAGACATATCTCCAAGGGCACATTTTTGGAAAGTAAGGAATAGCAGCAGTATAACTTCATTGTGTGAGACCTTTGAGTTTCAATACTTTGTTTTGCTCTTCAGAGGATCCTTTTCAAAAAAAATTTGTAGATAATGAGTCATAAATAGATTCTGCCAACTGTGGGGAGAAATACACTTTAAGTAAATATTTTTTATTGTTTGGGGCCTTAAAAAATAATTGTGTTCCTTTAAAAAAAAAAAAAATGACATGTTAGTTTTTAGGTGGTTTTTTTTTTTTTTTTTTAGTATTTTAAGATTGGTTAAATCCATTTAAGAACCACTTTTTGTCAATGTTTAATAGCTTCCATTTCTTTAAAGATAATTTATACTGCTGAGGAAATACTATTAATAGCTATCGACATTGCCACCATTAAATTAAGATATTTACTTTAGATTTTTTTACCAAAGCTTTTTTCTTGCACACTGATCATTGTATTTCTAAGCGATTTTCTTCAGCTCTAACATACCTATGGTTAAACAGTATAAAAACTTGATATTTAAATATGTATTTCCCTGTTAATTTATATTTTAAAAATACAAAATTGAATATCTGTCAGTCCCTGAAGGCAGTTTGTTTTTATACGCTCTCACATTTGTATTTGTTGTTTAAATGGCAGTATTTTAGAAGATTTGGAGAAAAGATCACATAATAATGTTTTCTTAAAAGCTTTCAGAGTTTTTACTGTACATCAATTTACCTCTTCCATCAGAAAACTAATAACAAAGTGTTGCTCAGTCTGTTCCACTGACCTAAATTTTTGTTTTCAGCACTTGCCCCAGCTGATTCACTGAGTGAAGGAGTTGCTTTATAAAGCAAAGCATGTGAAAGTTCTAAAGTATGGTTAGATTGTAGGTTGTGCTCTATATGGAAACATCAAACCATTACTGCAGAGAAATGGTAAGGCATTGGATCCACTATTGAAATTACTATTTTTGGATCAACAAGTTGCTACTTTCTGACTTCTGTATCTTAACATAAGGGAATTTTAGGTAATGCTAATAAGTCAGTTGTCTCATTTTTTTTGTTGTAACAAGCTTTGGAATTTTTAGTTAATTGAAAGAAATAATGATTTCAAATAGAAGTAAAAGGTTTATAAGTGTGCAAGTTTTAGATTTATCAATTACCTCAGCAGGTATCCTGCCATGTAATTATTAGTGATTAGTATTAATAAGCTAATAGATTCAGGTCTTCCAACTATGCCCTTGGATTGTGGCCTACCATACATTATTAAATGGTCTCTTATTATTCAAAATGGGAGTAGATGCTGTGGCCCTGTCTCCCTTGGCTTTTACATCCCATTCCCACCCCCGTTCATGTACAACATGTGAAATAGAAAAATGTCACTTCTTGTCAGCGTCAGCACTGCTTATTTGCATACTCAGCATTGGATCACTGAATAGTTTTATAAAAAATCCACGCACCTAACTCCCTTAGTTAAGACAGATTCTTAATTCATACCATGAATTTTTAATATCTGTTTCATCTATGTTAGTGATCTGCTGAAGGTGACTCAAGATTTTCAAGGTGTAATACAGTTTGATCATGTACCGGACCTGGATATTTAATTTTTTTTCTCACAGTTATCTCTTCCTTGATAAAGCAATAACACTGCTTTAAGTCTGTTGCCTAATAGCATGTCAGAATCCTTTCCTGGATGGTGATTTTATAGGAAAGTTTGTATGCATATCACCCAGTCTATCTTTTAAAAATTAAGAAATTTAAATGTATGCTGGAAGTAATGACAATATATTGTGGCATTTTATTTTAAAAATTGGGGAAAGTTGCATATTTTTTTAAAAGTAAGTGTTTGAGTAAAAAAAAAAATTGAAGGTACTTTTTTAAGGAAAAAAATTTATATGCCACAGTTTACATAGACATTTCAGATTCAACATGTACTCTTGAATATAATGGTTTCTTTTACTTGGTCAGAATGCATGTATAGCATTTCTTTCATCTTAGTTCCTTGTGTTTGCCTACGTGGTCCTTTATATATTTTTTATTGTATCGGAGAAACAAAACTATCTTCAAAAATAAGTTAATTTGGACATATATGTCATATCAGATTGCAAAATGTACAAAATTAAGTTTAGCCCTTTTCTAGAAAGTGATCTTTAAAATTGAAAATGCTCTTCTTTTACATTCACCAAGTTTATATGTGTGGGAAGGCACCGAAATGATTTTGTAAGTGCCACTGTAATATTCCCTTTCAAGTGTGGCCTAAATTTCAATCTTAAGGATAGAATGCATGTCTGCTCCTGGTCTAAAAAATGTAGGTATTTACTACATTTTAAAATCAGTGAAACATATACATAAGCCTATTAAAGAAGATTTGTGCAATTTGAAATCCTGTTAATTTTTTATGTAGACATACCTACACACGAAAGGGTTAAATTCACAGCCTTACTAGTTCCTTGCTTCCAGTATTTCAATTGGTCTCCTCCCCTCCTTATTATTATTACTACTACTACTACTACTACTATTTTTGCACATAGTTAACTGCCCTTCAATATGATTCTTAAAAAGTGCTGTTTCTGTGGTATCGTATTCTCTAAATAATCATATTTAATTTTTTAAAACAAGGTTGCAGTTTCTAATTGTTTCGTTCCTGTGTTTTTGCTGATGTGTAATAAAAGCAAGTTTTTTTCTTTTCATGGTTATTTAATACATTAGCTGCCTGTAAATAATTATTGTTATAATGCTCTGGAATGTGTTGTAGCAGTTGTATTAGATTAGTTTTAAACCCTTGTTTGAAAGCCACATTGTTTTGGTTATTTCTATTAAATTAGAAAATTGAAAAAGTTTTCAAATGAATTTCTTTTTTTTCCCTCTTCTGTGAGTTGAAAAGTATAATTTTAA